ACAAAAAATTTTCTTGACACCCATTTGCAAAATATTCCCTTCATATCCGTATAATGTTTTTTGGAGGGCAGTGGCATTTGGAAATATTTGTCCTTCTCCAATAATCAAATCCTTCCATTTTGTGAAATTCATTTGTGGTGTAGGTGTTGGGATCATTTCAACAGCACAAGGAATTGATGGTGGCTCTTCAATCTCATCAAATAAGGTAGGTGGAGACATAGACAATCTATTGATACCTCCAAATAATTGATTAATTCTGCCGGAAATGACAAGTCAGGATGCATGCATTGACAAATTAGTAGCAAGACAGTAACAACTGATATACCAAGAAATGATAATAACAGTTTTGTTAAACTAAACTTACACATATTGCTCATCCATTGCATTATCCCTTGTTGCTTTTATGTGGTCCTTATTTCCATTCTCTTCTCCATACATATGACCACTTTCTTTAGTGAACTTTACCAAATGTTCTACCCCATCATCATCTACCAACTTCACAAATGTTTTTTTATCAAACATAACTGAGAATCTTAAAAGAAATGAGTTACTCTCTTTTCCAGCAATTAATGATATAATTTCCTTCAATTCTTCATAACTTGTGCCCTTCTTTATATTTGTTGTTCTTACACTACCTCCCACATATCTCATACCATCTTCTCCATCATTTATAAACTTTCCCCCTATGTGAACAAAGCAAAATAGATGCTTTCCAAACATACTCGCCATCAGTAATTTAAACCTGTATCAAGAATTACACAATTGTTATTGACAAGTTAAGGAGCTACGTTGACAACTGTCGTGGCACACATTGATAACTATCACAGCCTGATTGACAACACAATATCTCATTTCGTGTTAAAAGTTTCTACCCACACTAACCTTTATCTTTTTCTTCCTTTGCCACTAAACTAACATCAGAACTGAGCAAAATCATCCACAAGCAACCCAAAAACAGAACACCCATAATCATCGTACACACCCAACTTAAATCACCAACACACACCAACCAAAAACACAGCTTTTCCATTGATTAACTTGTGAATCCTACACCAAAAACAAAAGCTTTGCAGTACCAAATGCGAAAACGATTTTCTGATTTCCTATTCCCAAACAAATACACAATCTGTCAAGAAAGATAGGAGAGGAGAGGAAAGAAAGTTCCAGACTTGAAAATTGTGGAGATTCACATGAAAGAGTTTACTAATGGTAATGAAGAAGATACTTCATCATCAATGGCTCTTTCCTTCTTTCCCAATGTCTTCTCTCTCAACCATACTACATGCGAAACTCCTCACCCAGCTCACCGTCTTTGTTTCTGATAGCTAGGGCAAGAGAGTCATTTCAACATTCTGATAGTTGCATTTAAGTCCCTTTGAGACTTCAAAACAATTATGACATTTTATGAGACCTTTTTGCTGTATATTTGGTTCTGTGGGACCTTAATGTCATTTTCCTTTTTTAAAATCAAGATACTAACGTTGTAAACAAAATAAGTAAAAGGAATTAAAAATCACGAAAATAAATTATAAGACAAAAGACAATACACAATTAAACAATATAGACCCAGGTAGTATTTTTTTTAAGAAGAAAAAAGTATAAAAAAGAAGTGGTGCAATAGAGTAATGGCAAATGTAACTACTCCTCCGGTCATTAATATAGAACGCAATTGTTGAGTTGGTTTTGGTTCTAAATATAAGATTTATTTTTTATATTTATTAATTTTTTCTAAATTACCCCTATGGATACTCCTTCAACCATAATCAAGTAGAAGAGGAAGAGGGGATACTAAGAAAGATGATTATGATATTTTAGGAAAAATATGTCACATTTGTTATAATCAATTAATTTACCTAATTTTTTTTAATTTAATCAAATTAATTAAATAGGTCTTATATTAAAGATTAAAGGAGTATATTTAGTATCTGCCGATGTCTCAAATAGGATGAGTTTTAATTGGAAGAAAATAATAAAAAAGTAGGAGTACGGTGGAGCACTTGGGAGCGGTATGAATGTGGACGTAATGTGTGTTTGGATTTTTGGTAAAGACTGTTTGGATCTCCGGTAGAGTTCCCAAACTTCTTTGGGAAAATGTGAAGCATAGCTTTTTAAGCAGTACTAGTAAGCTAGTATTCATTCGTTTGGCATAGCGTTTTACCCAAATAAAGTTTTGGCCTGATCATACGCTGCAAGAGAAGTTGAATTTTGGTGCGTTAGGAATGAAAGTACATTCATGGCGCGGAGGGAGAAAGATAAACAGTGACAAAAGGACAAAATATGGCCTCCCTTGCATTATTTTTTTTAAAAAAAATATACCATTACTAATTAGTTAAATTAATTATTTGTAATAAATTAATATTATCACATTTAAAATATCATTGTTAATTATGTACATTAAGACTATCCAATAATAAAAAATTCTTAATATGTGTAACCACTGTAGGAATTATTTGGAGGCAAAAATAGATAAACATTAAAGAAAAAGAATTGGGATATTGTATTTACTACTATTTTCAAATTTTCTCAATAGCATACTACCTTCGATCCTAAATATAAAAATTAGTTAACTAATTTGAGTAGATTAAGAAAATAAGTTAAATTAGTTATTTGTAATAAATTGGTGTTGCATTTCCTAAAATATTCTTACTAATTAAGTTTATTGGCTAGAACTACCATTATTAGAAAGACCATCTTGAAAAAAAAAAAGAGAGACAAAGTGGATTGGGGTCTTGTGTTTAGAATCAAAATAAAAATCAAATGGGGTCTTATATTAAGGACTAAAAGTAGTATTAACTATTTTTATAATTTTAATTTTAATAGTTCTCTTAAAATTATCACATTATATACATAATTATTTAACAAAATTTATATCCTTTTCAATAATTTTACATCTAAACTTTTCTACTTTCTATTCAAACAAGTTTTAGTTTGTCGTATAAATTACGTTGCATTAACCGATTTTTTTTTCAAACTCATGATTATAAAAGTCACTAAATATGACGTGGGAATCCAAAAACACCTGTAATGTTTTACACTTGCAATATTTGTATATGAGGGGCCGTCGCGTGCTACGTAGGTTAGGTTGGGTATGGTACTCCCAAACCTGCCGTTTTATAAATTTGGCAATGCTATTTTGTGATGTTAGGCGTAACTTATAAATAATATAAATTTAATGGTTTATGTAAATATATACTGATTTAAGGGCAAGCTGTGACTTGACAAATGCAAGTTGTAATTTTGCAGACGATGTATCGTGCATGAAAGTAACTACCCTGAGTATGACAGTGATAAATATTTGGGCTAATCTGAAATTGAAACCCATCAATGTGGTCCAGATTTGTAAATGGGCTAGGATAGCCCATGATCTTAGCCCATTTGTCAAGGCAAGAGATCATGCGCTTTTTTATTGTTGATCAAGTTGTAAAGGCCCACGGTCCCATCAAGAACATCATATCTTCAGTATCAAATGGGTTGAAGTAATTGTTAAGAAGTCGCCTTATGGTAACTCACAAGACGTGACTCTTGTGAATCTTCGAAACTCAGCTCATTTAAATAGAATCAATATAATTCTTTCATCTATTATCATACTATTTCCGGTTTTTAATATAAAATCTTATTTAACTTTTATTTTAGTCCTAAATATAAGATTTCAATCCATTTTGTCTCTCATATTTATGTATTTTTTTCCAAGATAATTCTGTTAATAATAGTAGTTCTAACCAATATATTTGATTAGTAAGGATATTTTAGGAAAGACAACACTTATTTATTACAAATAACTAACTTAACTTCTTTTCTTAACTTTCTTAAATTAGTTAATTAGTTCTTATAATTAGGACCGGAGGTAGTATATAAATTTATCAATTTCTTTTCCCTTGGCTAATTTCTGTGTCTTACGTGGTCTATAATGTCAAAACGTACCGGGGACTTTGCAGCTATTTATACAACACTTCTAGCATGGTTTTATATATTAAGGTTATAAAAGTGTTTAAACCTCATTAATTCCATCTTTAAAAAAAGTAGGAAAAAAATAAAGTATACTCCTCTAATTCTTAATATAAGACTCGTTTTGTAATGTAAATAAGTTATAAATGCGTCTTATATTTAAGACTGGAAAAATATACTAAATTTAATAATATGACTATATGTTAAGAAAAAATACTCCTTCAGTCTCTAATATAAGACCTAATTATTGAGTTGATTTTGGTTCTAGATATAAAACCTCTTTCTTATATTTATCTATTTTTTCTAAATTAACCCTATGGATCTTCCTCAACCATAATCAAGTAGAAGAGAGAGGAAGGATATTAAAGAAGATGATTATGGTGTTTAAAAAAAATATGTAATATTTCTTATAATTAATTAATTTACATAACTTTTTTAATCTAATTAAATTAGTTGAATAGGTTTTATATCAACAAGCGGACGAGTATTTTGTTTCCCAGGATAGGACAGGAGTACGTGTTAGGTTGGACGCCCATTAAGAATCTGATTGTATTAATCAAAAGAAGAAAAACAAAACATTTGCTCCATAACAGCTGTCATACGTGTAAACGTGCGATGGTTAAAGATGGTGTTCTTTGCCTGTCTTGGCTGTTTGGCCTTCCTAAAATTCTAGAGATCCTTGTCCAACCCAAGACCGAGTCTCTCGGTTTCTTCAATCTGTCAAAAGAATTCAGAAAAATAAAATATTCGAATAAAATAGGACAGTTTGCCTATCATTAAAGATTTTTTCCAGCAAATGCTTCTCCCAACCGTGCCATTGAGTTTCACGTACCCTTCATTCTGATTGACACAAAACACAGCGATTTTGTTCGCTGGAAGGCACTACTCCAGGAGACTCCTCATGTTTTCTCCTGGGGTTAGTCCTCTTCCAAATCCCATTTCTCACTCTTTTTCTCTTATCCTTTTAAGATCTAGCAGGCCCGTCTTGTATTTGTTTTAGATTATGATCAAAGGGGTCCTTCATCGTCATCTACAAAAACATCATCACATCATCAATGGCGGCAGACACTTCGCCCGACAGGAGATCGGGTTGTGGGTTATTCAACGCAGTGTTTGGACGACGCAATCTGTGGCAACGTAAATCAAACTCTTCTCCTCCTTCTCCGACTTCCAACGTTCATAATGTCAACCAAAATGTCAAATCATCCTCCGATATGTGGAATTCAAAGCGGCGGCGAGGCCCCTCCGATGACGCCGATTTACTCGCCACCAACCCACCGACGCGTGTCATGATTCAAAACCAGCATAGGAAACAACATCTCAACGAAACATCGAAAGCGGCACAGCAGGGTCATGCGTATCAAGGCCGAAAGGTTCCCAAAGAGGCCCTTGGAATTTCAGGCGAGCTTGAAAGTTATATAACCGATCACCAGAAATCCCAGGGAAGTAGCACGCTTGTTCGGGCTTCCTCCAGCAACGTGATGCTGTTTGGTGATTTAGGAAACTTGCGACAATGTGGTGGAGGAGGAGGAGGCGGGAATTACACAAATTCTTATAGTGTAATGGATCACCTTCCTAGGCCTAGAAAGGAAAACCTTATGGCTAATGGTGAAGGAAGATACACAACAAAGCATGCGACTGAAAATAATGCAGGAAATAGGACCAAAGAGAATCAGAAAGAAGAAGGGGTTTCCCTGTGCAGAGCCATATCAACTAGAATGGATCCGGAGCAGTTGAAGATAATGGGAAATGAGGATTACAAGAACGGCAGATTCGCAGAGGCATTGGCCCTCTATGATGCTGCCATCGCCATTGATCCTAACAAGGCTTCATATAGAAGCAACAGAAGTGCAGCATTAACGGCTCTTGGTAGGCTTGTCGAGGCCGTGTTTGAGTGCAGAGAAGCCATTCGAATTGAACCTCATTACCATAGAGCTCATCATCGATTGGGAAGTTTGTACCTCAGGTATACATAGGCACCTTCCTAAACTTTAATTCATGCCTTGGCTTTGAAAATCTATCTTTGCTCACTGAACAGGCTATTACATTTGTTGCATTGTTGGGCATATATAGATTAGGAGAAACAGACAAAGCCCAGTATCATTTTAAACATGCGGGACCAGATGCAGATCCTGATGAGATTGCTAAGGTGAGGAATCTTCAACTTCATCTTAACAAGTGCACTGAGGCTCGGAGGTTACGAGATTGGAACACACTAAAAAAGGAGACCAACTCTGCTATGTTATGTGGGGCAGATTCTGCTCCTCAGGTGAGCGAACATCCACTTACATACCTCGGACGTAGTCTCCATTCTATCTCACTTTGTGTGAATATGCCAATCATACTGATATGATGTTGTGACCCTGTTTTTGGCCTTAATGGAAGATATTTGCTCTGCAAGCCGAAGCCCTTCTAAAGCTTCGGAAGCATCATGATGCCGTTGAAGTAATGTCAAATGGTCCTAATTTTACAGACGAAGAGCTGAGCAAGTTCTTTGGACCTATTGGTTTCGCTAATTTGCTGGTCACACGGGCTCAGGTTGATATGGCTGCGGGAAGGTACCGTAACTTTCTCCTTGAAAAGCAAAATCTGGTTCATCAAACATAGGAAACTAAGGTAAATGACAGAAAACAGATGTGGGTTTTGTTGACAAAAGGGTTGGCATTTATATGAACAGATTTGACGATGCTTTGGAGGTGGCTCAACGAGCAGTGAAGTTAGACTCAAATAACAAAGAAGCGGGCATGGTGATGAGAAGAGCTCGAGCAGTAGCAGCAGCAAGATCACATGGAAACGAGCTTTTTAGAGCATGTAGATTCTCAGAGGCATTAACAGCTTATGGAGAGGGGCTTGAGCATGATCCTTGTAACTCAGTTTTGTTGTGTAACCGAGCCGCTTGTCGATCCAAATTGGGCCAATTTGAGAGAGCCGTGGAGGATTGCACTGCTGCTCTCAATCTAAGGCCTTCATACAGCAAGGCCAGATTGAGAAGAGCGGACTGTAATGCTAAGGTTCGTAACATACCCTCATAAATAAGTTTCTTAACTAAATTATCTTTCCCATGTCTGATGTTCTGGTGTTTGATTTGTGTTACATGTCTGTGTTGAAATGATATGTAGTTGGAAAGATGGGAAGCTTCAATTCAGGACTATGAGATGTTGCTGAGAGAGACACCAGAAGAGGAGGAAGTAAGAAAGGCGTTGATGGAGGTTCAGAAACATCTCAAGTAGCAACAACGACAGGAGGTCAAGAGTTGTAGGAAATGGAAGTATGGTGAAGCTGACTGATATATATAGTTAGAGATTAGACAAACTCGAGTGTGATTGAGATTATGTTGGCATTATTTGACGTCGTATTAAGTGTTTGAAGAGGTACATAGGCTGATATTAGAAAGAGGTCCATATTGTCCACTTGAGCAGGTTCTTTATGTGATAGAAAAAAGGAAAAAAGCTAGGCTCCTCTTTGTATTTGTGTGGCCGAAGTAAAGTGTATAGCTGCTGACATTGTTCTTGCTTTTTTCTTTCTTTCTTTTGGAATGCTTTTCAATGACTTCCAATATAATGTACAATAGATTTATTCCCAACTAGTTCATTTCATTTGTTAGCAAGTATATCAATCCATTTTTCAATCGTTCACTGGGAAATTAAATATGATATAGGTCTTTTTAAGGCCATAGTCGTCCAAAGATAACATCTTTATTATGATAACACTCCCTCCGATTCAAAGTATAAGCTAAACTTTGTCAGAGGGTTTTTTTTTTAATAAAAGAATATTTACTTTTGTCTAAGCATTTAATGAGTTTTTTTTTAATTTTATTCTCATATATTCTCTTTCTTCTTTGATTCATATTTATTGCATCTTTTACTTATTTTTTTTATTAATAAGGACATATTTGAGGAAAAATACATGTTTTACATATTTATTGTTTTAAATTGATTTTAACTAGTTTCTTGATAAGCGTAGATGGATAAATTTTAGCTTATATTTTGAACCAGACAGAATAATTATTTTGAACTAGGAAGGATATTATAAGTACCTAAAGTGTAAACAAGAAAGAAATCAGAACACTAAACAAAAGCAAATATCCTCCTATATTCATATATCCAAAACTCCAATAATACAATAGGTAAAATAATTTTCCAGATTAAATAAATGAATTGACCTAAGAAAAGGGCAGTCACTATGTGATTTAAAGATGTTTGAGTTATACTCAAATGGGTGAAATTTTGATGATTAGATTAGACCAACTGATAATGATTAAACCAATATAAACTAAAAAAGTGCTTGGGAACAATCAAAAGCACTTTTAAAAAAAAAGTGTTTTTATGTAAATCGAGTTAAAATTTCTCTCATATACTTATATCATATATTATAAAATTACTTTAAAATTATAATATGGTTTCCACCCAAACACCCCTAAGAATCAATCAATGAAAGCTGGTCAAGAATATATTAACCAATATTTGTTGAATAGAACTAGTAAAAGTAGATCATAAATAATACTCTTCCGATCCTTAATGTAAGACCTATTTAACTAATTTGATTAGATTAAGGAAGTTAGGTAAGTTAGTTAATTATAAAAAATATGACACGTTTTTCCTAAAACACTATAATCATCTTTCTTAATACTCCATCTTCCTCTTCTACTTGATTATAGTTGAGGGAGTATCTATAGGGGGTAATTTATAGAAAATTGGTAAATATGATAAATATGTTTTATATTTAGATCCTATATTAAGGATCAGAGGAATATATATGTGTGCGTAATAAGTTAATTACTAGGTTACTCTCTTGACTATGTAGCATGTACTTCAAATTTAGTGATTAATCATCAGTGGCTCTATAGCTCAATTAAATCACAAATTAGTGCCTTTATATGGTTCAACTACAGTCTACGAAACATAGATTTTGTGAAGGAATTGAAGAATACGCTAAATTGAATATAAGAAAGAGAGAACAAAGGAAAGTGGTTATGAAAATAGGGACAGCGAAATACAGGGAAGAAAAAGGCGAAGAAAGCTAAAAACAGAGGAATTAGGTGTTAAGGAAAGTCGGAAGAAACACAAAAATATAGTGGCCATTAGGGTTTTCCATGCTGTAATCAACCTTTCTCCCTCTCTCTTTCTTCCCCTCTGTCTCTCTGTCTTTCTCTCTCCTATCCTCTGAACCTCTCATATACAAAATTCGTCCATGTCGAAGAAGAAGACGCTGCTTCAGCCTCCCACCCACCATTAACCCTCCTTATAGCTTCTCCGTTTGCCCATGGACGGGCGGCTTCAGCCACCCCCCACCGACGAACACCATGCAGCAACACCTTTGCCCCTCCCTCCCGGCCGCGATCACCACACTTACATCGTCCAAGTCCCGAAGGACCAAGTCTATCGCGTTCCTCCGCCAGAAAACGCCGTCTTCGCCGAACAACGCCGCAACCCTATCAACCGGAAGAACACCAACACCTGCTATCGCTCGTCCTGGTTCTTGATCTCTCTAGCCATTCTTCTCGTCCTTGCACTCATCATAATCGCCTTGTATTTCATCTTCAAGCCCAAGCTTCCTGAGTTTTCTGTCACCAAATTCGAGGTTAAGAGGCCTCCGACGTCATCGTCGTCCAAGAAGAATGCGCATTGGGTTCCTAATTATCTAGTTTCCATGAGGGCCAAGAACCCTAATGGAAGATCTGGGCTTAGTTACGCCAAGGATGGGGATGTTTCCATGTATTACGACAGCATCGTGGTGGCCACCGGCGAGTTTCCGGGATTGGATCAGGACCCAAACGCTTCCTCTCAGGTGAAGATTGAGCTGTCGGGATCAAAAGGTAGGCCGTTAAATGCAGACATGCGAAGGAGCATGAACTCGACGAGCAAGAGCCCCGTAGCGATTTCTTTTGAGTTGGAGATGAAACTTGAGGTGAAGGGAAAGATTGGGGGGATGAAGATTTATGGGATGAATCCCACTGTTAAATGCAAGATCAAGTTGAGTTCCTTGAGGGACGACGCTCGTGTGCTTTCACAAGAATGCAACTAATTGGTGTGAATTAATTAAGTGGGCAAGAACAAGGATGAAGATCATTAATTAAGGAGGGGACGTGATATGATCATGTGGGGTTTAGCCAATTATATTTGTTGCACAATTATAGTTCTCTTTTTGGTTTTCTGGCATTCTTTTGGATTGGCGAATTCCATATTATTCTATGCTTTATAATTTCTTTGTGACTTAGATTTTTACGTTAGTAAAGTTTGGAAACATATAGGAGCAGATCACATTGAATCGTCTCAGATGTACCATTATATATACACACCCTGCAATCCAAATTCTTAGGTGTCCCAAGCGCTTGAGGGGGTGACAATAAAATATTAAAATGGGAGAACACTTAGGGCAACGAGTTGTTCATTTTTCATATGTTTCTTAGGCAAGCTTGATGGACTGCACTTTTGTTTGTACTTTGTAGTATTAACTTGCGATAAACAATTGCAAACCCAGTTTAACAATACAAATCAGACTAGAGTTTGGTTTCGGACCCATTTTCTCAGCAGCCATGATATGCGTGTTATAATGTTAGGGGAAAGAGAGGTGTAGGGAAGGGGAAGCAGGAAGAGGAAAAGCCTTAATTAATTACCTGAACAACCCATAACATGGGTTACATGTGTTCTCCTTCTTTAAGTAACAAAATAATCCCACCAGCTTCTTTTTCTCCCGCAGAACAAAAATGTAAAAGAAATTACACGTGTTACGTTGAAATAATCTACCTTCATTATTATCATTTATGTATACAAATAATACCATAATTATTTCAGATATTTGATTTTTTTTTTAATATTTTAATAAGTATATTTTAATTTTTTATCCTTCATAAATAAATAAAAATTTAATGAAAAAAGAGAATCGGTCTTCATTTTTTTTTTTTTATGCCAAAGATAATTTTATCTGAGATATTGTCAGGTATTAAATGTGGGCACATTTTTCAGTGAAAAATTAGTGAATCTGCCAGTGTCTGGTCTTGTTTAAGTGTTGCACTAGTGAGAAGTCAAACCGGTATCAACCTAGTAAAGTCGATGCAAACCAGTGATGAACCAGTTTAGATGATTATATTGTTATTGATCTTATTTTTACTAATTCAACAATATCTCAGTGACAATAGATTTGAATGAATTTTAATAATGATTTTATATCAATGATTATTAATTTTAGTTACTGAGAAATCGTAAAGATCAAAATTCTTCTTGTATTTTGTTATTATTACAAGCAAATTACTATTTTATTTCCTTACACTTTGTGATTCGTGATTATTGATGTTATTGTATTTTATTATTTTTAATTAAATTGTATTATTTTAATATGACAGGTTTTGCAACTCCTAACTTTCTATATACTAATAAGGTCATGTTAATGTTTGTGAATCACTAAGCTAGATTTCTATCCTAGGAAAAAAGGGATAATTTTTTTTTCAAATTATATACTAACTGAAAACTAATGAGTGATTTACATTTGAACCCTGCCAATATTACTATAACACAAGCACACAGACTTATTAATAATGCTATATACATAGGTATATACACTGGCCATTTGGTCAATGGTGGTTACCTGTGCGCCGGCAGTGCATATCTCCATATGGAGGGCATAAGAGAATATTTACACAAAGCAAGTATTGGTTACTTGCAGTGATTATATATACATAACAGTATAATTAACTTCGCTAATAAAATAAGCTACTATACAAGTACATATGCAGGAATTCCTATTCTTTATAACTGCCCACCTTCTTCTCTTACAATCTTCTTTTCCTTAGAGCTGCTCTCCTGTGTTGTGTATCATGGAAAGGAGGATGAGATTCCAAAGCATCCCGTAGTAGTAATTTCTAGTAAACACAAATGTATATTACATGAAGCATGCAAAACGAGCTAAAGTGGAACATAACCTTGTAAGTTAATGCAATTAAGCATTGATGCGCAATGACAGTTAAACGAGTTGGATAAATAATGTGCAAATAATTGGTAAATACAGCTCCATGTTTATCAGCTACATGTGATCAAGGCTAAATAATCCCTACAAGGAATTAAAGATTACATGTTCTCATGCTTAAAACAGCAATATGGCACAAATAGACATGCAGTAATCATACACAAGTGTAAGGTAAGAAAGAACTACTACCTGGTCCGCTTCCCTCCAAATCAAATCTTACAAATTTCTTCTTCTTCTTTTGCTTCTTTTGTGGGTTTGAGCAGATATTAAAACCTATCATATTTGTAAGGGTAAATCAATGCTTGATCCAACCGTAATTCATAAATTAAATAACTCTTTTTAAATTTCAAATCTTCTTTAATCTCTATCCTTACTAAATAGTTGGTCATGCTGGACAATTTTTCTTATTCAAAGTATTCTCTTTGGAAGGTTTCCTTCTTTATCTCAATCTATACAGTTACTTTACTTAGTAACCGGTCATCTTTATTAAAAAAATATTTTCTATACTACTATCTTATCTTAAAATCAACATAACTTTAAATCAATTTCGTAACTTCTATAGCCCCAGCACTCGATTATAACTTAAACCTTTCTTTTCAAAATTTCTAAACTTGATTTAATGACAATTTATCGTCATCATCTATATAATTTTTATGTCATTAACAATAAAGACACTGAGCACTATTATTTAACTTTTCCTTTAAATTGTGAATTTTTTTTCCAACTTTGCCCAATTCTATTACAGGTACTAAGTTAGCATCCTTAACTATGCGTTGCAACTGGAGGAACTTGTTTGATACTTGAAACCAACAGCAAGTTCCTTTGGATCTCACCTCCAAGTCCCATTTCCATGAATTAAGCTTTGGAATTGAACTTTCAAATCAATAACTTTTAATCATAAATCTCTTCTAGTCACTAAACACCTTAAATCAACAAATATGAAGTTCCTGTTTAGATGACTTAAAATCATAGCTAATTATAGACCATATTCTCAATCCCTTTAATCCTCATTCCAAATTCATTGTTAATCTCTTTACAAATTGAACAGCTAAAATCATTATTACACCAAACAATTCAAGCCTATCATCCCACCTTGATTTCTCCTCTACTCTTTCCCCTAAGCATCTCACACAACTAAACCCAATATCTCACATATATATAGAACCACCTGTATTCCACTCTTAACGTCTAATTAAATTAATGTTTCATATTCAAATGCCAAGCACCCCACGGCACATGCATATATCTACTTTAACACACAATAAATTTAATTTCCACAAACTTTCGATCCGCACACCCATAATCATTTATATATATTACTACTTCTATTGTTCCTACACTCACCAATCTTCTCTTTATCATCTAATTTTCCCTAGTTGACATCCTTGCTTTCCACCAAAAACCACGCTTAACATAAATCAGAGGCAACCACCCACATGCAATTGAAACTTTGTACTTCTTATCAACCACAATCCACATACAAATACAAAACAACCAACTCCTCCACTAGGTAAGCAAGAATACCGAAACTCAACTTGCATGATTGTTCACCCCTGTTCGCTGAACTTAAAACAGAATAAGAATCAACATGCAACGGCAAATCCCCATTATCATCTTCGTTTTCCCGACATCCGCAGCTCCCAAACTCTCCCCTGTTTCGAACTTCCCATGACAGAGGCATAGAGAAAATGAAATCCTCTGCGGTCACACTTAAAACAAAACAATCAGCAGCATGCATGCTTGAAAAACAGAAACGTAAGTCTCATTGTGACCCTTAGACACGATTTCATAACTTAGTTCTTTTGTTCTTCACCTTCTCTCACTAAAAGCCAGATTTCTCTCTCTTCAATCACAACTAAAAACAGCCCGAACCAAGAGAATGAAGATGGAATGAGACTCAAGAAGCTCACCTTGTCTACAAATGCCAATTGCATCCAAAGAAACAAGCTCCGATCACCTTCTCTGGCCACACCTTCACTTCTCGGTCTCTCTCATTTCTCTCGACTCTCACCTTTTCTCTCTTTTCTCTCAAATGCCAACGTGAAAATGATGCTGGGAGAAGTGAAATCTGACAGTTAAATGTTTACGTCACACGTGTGGTGTGTGTGGGGTAACCAAAATAACCATTTCAGCCTTCTTTTATTCCTCAGTTTCATCTTCATTCTTCTTTTCATTTTTCCGAAATTGAAGAATAAATTCAAAAGTTAATACATGATGTTTTAATGGATTTTCCTTACCCAATAACTTCCTTGACCCATAAAATAATTTCTATAAAAATTCCAGATCAAAAATTAACTCCTAGCTATTTTTCTTAAATTTTCTAAGAAAATAGCCTTTATTTCTAGAAATTAATCCTTAACTCATTTTAAGGATTTGATACCTCAATTAGCTTCTTTACATCATAAAATAATTATCTTAAAATTTTTAGCTCAATTATAAACTTCTAACTATTTTTCTTTAAATTTTCTAAGACAATAGGCCATTTTTGCTCCAACAATTAAGTTTAAAATTATTTAAGCCATTTTTTGGGAAATAAACTTTTTCATAAAATTTCTAAGTCTTTAAAACTAATATTCCATAATTTTTCCCAATATGCTTGGCCATTAAATACTTTTAATAAATTTTTTTCCGCTCTTTTTAACTCAGAAAATTCAGGGTGTTATAGGTTTGATCCTAAGTTAACCTCGGTATGATCCATTGATCTTTGAACTACTATCTTAATTGGTTTAGTATCTGATCTATATTGTGAGAGATCAACCCTTTCTAGTAAACCCAACTCCTCCCATGAAGAAGGAGATTTTTTTTTTGGTTGGGTATGAGAAGGAGATATTGTTAGGAACAAGAGAACAACTCATTTTTATGGCCCATTATGAATGAAAATTTAAATAACAGATTATTGGAAAAGAAATTGAAGACCCAGTTGAGCAAAGCGGATCACTGAATATCGGCCATACAGTTGATTTTCTTATGCCCAAGAACAAACCCATGGACTTCATTACAAGCCCAATATTTGCATTGATTCAAGGACAGAAGTCGATTCATATGGCACCTACAATCTCATA